ATCTCTATCTCTCTAACGTACAAACTGATCTGATAGATTTAACAGAACTAAAGCATTTCTACTGCTTCAAACGACGAYGAAAAACATTATATTATAGAATATTATATTTTAAGACATTAAAATTTAAAAATGCTAAAACGAACACTTAAATTAATTTGATAAATGTTGATTATCTTATTAAACACGTTAACACTATTGATTTCTTTTCGGGGAATGAAATKAAATTAATGAGCATTAGAAACTTTTTATAATCAGAAATAATATGTGTTCATATTTGTGCCTTATAAGTATGTCAGCGTAATATATTTTTTTGTGCGTCTATTTTGTACACACTATTGTTGTATGCTTAATTATAATATATATATATATAATTCCTTCCGGTGTATTTTATAAATTAATGTCGGTAATAGACAAATACGAAAGAACTGAGGAATGWGCYGTGTTTTTAATGACTAAAATATAATATTAAGGCATTATTTTTTCAAGCAAATTGTTTTTGTAGTTTGTTTTATTAATCAACTCTAATATTTTAATTATTCTTAGTTAAATCATGATGCGTGTATATTTATAGACGTATATGTGATATGATGATATTAGGTATTGGGAAGGTGGAGGGCGTTGCCCGGTAGTCGGACACAGTCGCTAATGTGTGCTGCGGTCAAGCATCGTCCGGTGTTCTTAGTTCCTGGATGGGCGACCATCTGGGTTTTTAGCGACGAATCATCGCCCCATTTACAAACGTGTTGTTCAAAACCAGCCGCAACCCACCACAAACAAAACCATAACCTGCACCCACAAAATATGCTAACAACAATAACAGTCGATGCTTCAAAGCTAAACAGATAAATCAATTATTAGTGTGGTTTTTTTATAACTATTYTTAGTTTTGACTATTCTTAATGACGCAATGAATGTGTTGTTTTTACTCATGTAGCGTTTTTGTGTTTATGTCTGTTATCACTAGGTATTTAACTTTTGAAGCAGGAAACTCACTTYTTAGACTCGTAGTTAATACTTTTGAAAATGGAAAAAACTAAGAAAAAACATGATTATATTTTATAACGCAACACCTGCATCAGTTTCGAAAAAATGGATTTTGTTTATTTGTTTAAATTGTAAAACAGAAAAGTTGTAGAGACATTAAAAATTATTTTTTTCTATTTATGCAATTATTATAATTATATAAATAATGTAGGAATCGTAGGCRGTTTTAGCTAGAGTATGTGTAAAGTGGGCAACTGCCCATATCAACACTTATCTTTATTTCTCCTTATTTAAAAAATTTAATATTTTATACAAAAGACTAAAATAAAATGCTTTTATTATTAATTGCTAAATTATAATGATTGTTTACAATTATTTATTACCATTATTACGTTGGTGACGAATTAGTTTACTTACCAATTATCAGTATCGAAGTAATATCACATCTAGACCTCATTATAAGGTCTGATTCTAAAGCTATTCATGCATCGATAGCACGATTAAAAATAATAGTTTGAATTACTTTTTTAACAATTACCTAGTAACTAAATAAATACAATTATACTTAAATATTTCAAAACTAAGGATTACAGTATCTTTCTATACTTAAACCTTTATATTACCTATTGTTATAAATACTATAAAGATTTTAAGGAACCTAATGTAATGTATATACTGCTAATATTATAAGGTATTTGTTGAGACTATATAGTAGTATAGTATATACGTATAAATATTTTACTGACAACATTTTATGTGTGGAGGGTGGGGAGGTAAGGTATAATAGTCATAATTTAAAACCTAATTATTAATCTATTGGTGCCCACACGAAAATAAAGTCTTAGAATCCCCCCTGATAGGTATAATAGGTATATTGATAATGTTGTCGRTCATAGTTTGAAAAGCTTGAAAATTGAACACTATGTTTCCCATCAGATACATTTTATAGGAATTTTTTGTTAGAATTATAAAGAAATCTATCAACGTTCTTATGAGTATTTTAATTTTTTTAACAGAAGTATCTGAAAAAWTATTGGTTGAATAGACTTGAAATGAAACTTACATTTCACCTAAGTGCGAGGTGTTCTGCAAAAAGTAGTTTAAACTATCGTATACTGTAATATGAAAATAATTTACTAATAGATACYATAATAGCATATATACTGCAGCAGGCGTACAAAAAATTGTTTGTTCTTTAAATGATTTTATTTCTTAGAGGATTTTACGGAAGAAAATTACGACACCCAATCATTTTTAGAAAGATTGATCTATCTAGAAAGACAAGAACACGTGTCAGTAATGTGCCGTTCGTTCAAGTTACCAAAAGATGACGATGACTACCGGCAAGCCATCAACGATACCGTTCTCTTGGACCACATTCTGGTCGACAATCGACATAAGCTGCTCTATTGTTACGTACCAAAGGTTAGTTAATACCTACTTAAATATAATTAAACATAATCAGATCTTAAGATGACATCAGACCCGCAAGTGTTGTCTCTGTCTAGCAACATGGTAAATTTGCGTTCAGCTTCAGCAGAAGTCTGCAGAACCAATTATGTGTCGTTAGCTTTAATATTAATTTAAATTAGCTATCACCAAATTAAAGAAATKCCTTTATTTTTAACATGGTTTTTTTAATGATATTTAAATTTCTTAAACAGGTTATGAGTATTTACAATATTTACATTTTAAAATGCTCAAATAACTGCCTTAAAAATTAAAATAATGATATGGATAATTTTTACCTTTTTAGATCGATAATAGGTTAATATTTACAATAACATTAAATGTAATAACTAATAAGTAATAACACAAATTTGATGTGATATCGTTTATAATGGAGGCAACACGTTAAAATAGTATTTGGGTAATGATGTCGTAAAAAATAAGTGAGCAAGGAAATCTGCAGTGTGTATAATATAATAATATGTTTGGGTAGGTACCTACATTATAATACAACCATGGAGATTAAAACTAGTTTTATTCTTCATGGTTCTAACTTCTAACTTAATGTTAACCCACTTACACTTAATCGGCCGACTTCAAAAACTGATTAGGATAGGTATATGTATATACCCGTATACGTATATCTACTTGTATATATATGTATGATATACTATGATTATATAGTAGTAGGTAATATACAATAAGCACAGGCACACGTGTAATTAAGCCAAAGACATGTCCATGTTATTTCGTATAGTGATTCCCAAAGTACGAACACCGTAGTGATGGTCGTAGTGCCCCGAGGAGCATAGAATAACCTTATGGTARGGTAACAGAAGGATAAAATTAATGGATAATAAAATAAATAAAATATTATATTACATGACCTATAAAAAAATTATTATTTTTAAAATGGAAATCACGTTACATTTTACGTATGTTACCTAACCACTGTATCATTGTCATATAATATGGTGTAAACAAATTGATTAAGCACGCCATATTATATTGATTATTATTTATTACTATGATGGTTTATGTGTACGAGAAACAATATAAATAACAATAACTAAAATATTATTACCACTTCAATACTGATCTAGTGGGCGTATTGTAACATTTAACATATTTTTTTTTTATATATTGTGTTTTAGTTTCTTAATTTTTACTAAAAATATTTTTGTTGATTGATTTATTATTATTATTATTATTTTTTTTTTTACATCCAATTGTCACTACGTTCAATTAACCAAGTCTAAACGGTTACGTCTAATTTAAACGTAACATTTCTGAAAAGTCAAATTAAATTTTTATGATCATTAGGAAAGTTYAACATTTTACAACATTGGATTAGATATACATTCACCCATAAATTAAATGATTCTCATAGATTTTATTATTTTGTAGCGATATTAGATTATTTAAAATAAAGGAATAATCGCAGATACTTGACATTATGATATTTTGAATTATTTATAGACATTTGAAATATAACATTGTT